TTTTTTACACGGTTTTTTTTACACGGTTTTCCACGATTTACACGGTACGTTTTTAACGATTTCTCGACAACGATACAACCTATCGACTTGATTCCAATCACATTATCCGTTTCAAGCTATTTGTAATCGAATGGCATACTTTAAAAAAAATCACAATTTTTGGTGTAAATACAGAAATTTTTTAAATATGTCTATATGGACCATATCATGCTTTAATTACAAATGGCATCAAAATCCGATTTTTTAAAAACATTTAAGCATGCGAAAAATCAAAATCTCGTAGGTTTTTTTTTACACGGTTTTTTTTTTACACGGACCGTATCCCCCGTGTAAAAAAAGACCTGAGTGTATGTTATTTGGATTTATGAAATCATTTGCTGTTATCAGTGTTGGGGAAAATATCAAAAGATCAAATCTCACCAATGAGCATAATGAATTATGTTTGTGTTGAGTCAATTTGTAGCTACAATTTTACATGTTGTGAATAGTCACGCAATACAAAAGGAGCATTTAAAATCAATATCATGCTTGATACTTTATTCCAATATCACGCGTGATATTGGGAGCCCTTGAGAGCGAAAAAAAACTACTTGCGGGGAGCCTTTCGTTGTGTACTGGAGAACACCACCACTCACCACGCGGTGATTGAATAAACACCGTTTCGTGAGACCGGATGGAACTCAACTTTGAAATCTGTGTTAGGGATATCGCTTTTGGCAGGCAATCGGTGATAATTTTAATTATAATAGCAACAGTTGCACATTCATGCAATTTTCAATAGTGACATTTTGAAAAAAATGTGATAAAGTCTGATGCGTAGAAATATTTATAATCGATTAGTGATAAAATTATTGAAATTGGTCCAGGGGCAGCTGAGTTATTAACGTTCAAAATCTTTCATAATTTTGTTACATTTTCCATTTTTGGTTTTCACAAAGTGTACCCCCATATAGAAATCACAGACGTAGTCCTACGTCAAAAAATCATTTGAGTGAGGATCACTGGCTATTATGATCACTTGTTTTACTTGTATGTTACAAGCAAAGATTGAAGGTATGTGTTTTACACATAAAATCAGTCAGTTTTTCTTCCTTAGAGTCGCAATCAGCGATTTTATCATTTTTCACTGACTATATCACTCACTCAGATAAATTGAGAGCCTCTTCTTGAGCTAAACAAACCAACATAGGACAGGAGCTAGCGGCATCACGAACAACGAATTTGACTGACCAATGCCATCCAGGAACCAGTGGAATAAATAATAATGAAAATTCTACATTACCAACTACGAATTGAAATAAAGGCAGATAAAAATGCCCACGCTGGAAAATTAAGGGAATTCATACAACCAGTCTTGTACGCGGTCACGGTAGTCGACACATTTTCTGTGATAATCGAATGCCTTTACCTCCGACACTTTCAAACCAAGCTATCATAGTACAGTATCAAACTAAAATGTATTGGAGGCGAACCAGCCCAAGGCTGAAAGCCTCCTTAATAAAGCTAAATAATAATAATAATAACTAAAATGTCATATGACAGGCTCTGTCATACGACTCTGTCGCCGAAAACCGTCACGAATCTATGTATTTTAGTTTTTTCGCATAACAAGAGCTGCTGATGTTGTGCTTGTGTGAATTCAGAATATAGCAAGCAACAATGTCCTAGTAATAACATGATTCTGATCATAAACAGAAATGCTTTAATTTTGGTGTAAATTGATTTTGAGGAATTAGAACGAAATCACCACACATGTCATATGATAGTTATTTGATAATTTTATGTTTGCTCGAATGTTGTTCTACCGTTTGTGTTGTGTAAGTGAGACGACAGTAGAGCATGAGAGTACGAATACAAACAGACTGTCGCGCACGACAACGAAGCAAGTGTACACAGAGAAAAAAATTACCCTAAATTTAAGTTCTTTTACTTAATTTTAGGTAATTTTGAGTTTTGCATCCCACTCTCACTTTTTGTTGTTGTCAAAAACGGAACGAGAGATTCGACTTTCTCATGACTATCGTTCAATGAGCTATTAGTGAGTATATGAGATATTCTCAAATTTTAGTCAATTGAACTTAATTTTAGATAGAAAATACTCACGAGTAAGTAATTATTTTTGCCGTAGTCAAATGTAAACTACTATAAGCGGTTTACTGAAAATTAGCTTATTGAACGAATATATAACTTGGGAAATGAGTGAAAAGAACTTAATTTTGGGTAATTTTTCGATTCCGTGTAGTAAAAAACGTCAACTATTTCAAGCCCCGCATAAAACGAAGAAATTACCGAAAAAAAAACATCAAATTTATTCAAGAAAACCATCTTCATGCAAAGGTAGCTTGAGCAATTTTTAGTAAAATATTCATCAAAGGCAAACTGGACGTAGCATTTCTTCAGGAGCCATGGACGTATAATCTTAGGAACGCCTACTAACCGTGTAAGTTAATATATGACAACACTCAGCTTGTCAACATTAATGTCAAAATTACACCAATTACATAATTTATCACCAGGGATATTGGTAAATTGCATCAGCTTATTTTCCTTCTTTTTCTTCTTCTTTTTTTTTCTTCGAACTTCAAGCTTATTGCTTACCGCATATTAGCTTATTGCGTGCTCTCAATTTAGTGTTCTAGATGCACTTCCACAGTTATTAATTGAGAGCTTTCGATGCCTGTACCATTTTTTGCATTAGTTTAATTGCGTGGCAAAGTACAATCATACCCTAGTGATTTTGTAAAAAAAATGCACTTTGCGCACACAAACTTTTAAGCAATAAGTAAACAACAACACACATAGATGAACAGCTGATAAACTTCATCGGGGTAGAAATTGGTGATAGGTTGGTGATTAGTTATGCATGATTCAAGTCATTTGAGTAGTTCAGGCTCAATTCCCATTTTTTACAATTTGCCAACTCCCTGTTGCTAACATTTTGTAGATAAAGGACGGGCGCTTCCCCTCTTCATTGGGGCATCTTCGAGTTGGATGGCTCGTTTTCTGATCAAATTGTTGGAAGGAGATTTTTAACTGCCCCAAAGAAATGCATAGGCGAATCAATCCATTCATTCGTTTTTGGCCCTTCATACAGCGATTTGCTGATGGCAATCAGAGGTTGATCAAGTTCAACAGTGAGGAGAACCCACAGCTATCGGACTAGTTTCCGTGCTAAAATGAGTGGTAGACCACTATCATCATCACCATCATCATCATCATCTTCTTCAATTGCCATTTTTTACAATTTGAAAAGTAACATGCGTTCAAATGTTTTGCAAAAGTATAGAGGTGGTGTCTGTTTCGAAATTTGGGTTCCACAGCAATTCATTCAAATATGAATTTATTTATTTATTTATTTATTTGTCGTCAATCAGTGTAGACCGTTTAACAATTGTTGTCTTAAGAGCTATGTTTACAATTTTGTCTTTGTTTATATTTAACATTACTTCTAGCTGACGTTATGCGAGGAATTAAAATATTGCTTTAATTTGGTTTTTGTCATTGTAAAGTCAATGTTATCGCAGTGCTTATTATATGTATCCATCATTTGGTTCAAGGGTCCAAATTTGGCATAATTCGTACGATGACGATTTGTAGCAAATATATTTCTATTTCGTAAATGCCTAGATGGTGTATATAAATTTAAGGATGACAATAGTTCTATTGAATCAATTCGATGTGATACGATATCGTTTACGAAAGAAATCATAGCAAATTCACGACGCTTTTTTAATGTTTGGATATTTATGAGCATACACCGAGCTGTGTAAGATGGCAGAGGAAATACAGTCCAACCTAACTTGCGGAGTGCATACAATAGAAACTGCTTTTGAACGGACTCTATTCTTTCTTCGTGTGTGATTGAAAAAGGTGACCAAACTATGCTGCAATATTCTAATATCGATCTTACATAAGCAATGTACAATGTTTTTATCGTATACGGATCGTGAAAGTTATAGCAGAAACGTTTTATGAAACCAAGCATGTTGTTAGCTCTGTTAATAATTGTGTTATATGATCGGTGAAAGTAAGTTTTGAGTCCAAAATAACACCTAGATCCCTGACTCTATCACACTTTTCTACGATATGGTTTCCTAAAGTGATTGTTATATCGGGTAGGGTTCGTTTTCTACTAATGGTAATTGAGTTACATTTTTTTATATTTAATTGTAGCAGGCTTTTTTGGCACCAAGTATGGAATATCTGTATTTCCTCTTTGAATGTGATGATGTCTTTGGCATCTTTTATTTCCAAAAAAAGTTTAATGTCGTCAGCATAGATTAAAACTTTCAATTTCTTAATAATGAAAGATATGTCATTGACGAAGAGAATAAATAAAAGCGGTCCTAAATGGGAGCCTTGAGGAACTCCAGAAGTGACATCAACGGGATTTGATGTCTTTCCTTTGTATTTTACTATTTGATGGCGGTCAGTTAAATATGATTCAAGCCACTTGAGGAGTGCGTAATGAATTCCCATTTTTTGAAGTTTAAAAAGAAGCATGGGTATGTCAATTCGATCAAACGCTTTGCTGAAATCTGTATACAACACTTCTACATGGTTTCCGCATGCATGCGCATGGTATAGATTTCTTGGAAGAAATTTGCAAACAAATTGCATATATCATCCGAGTTCTCACCTACCCTATCGTCCAAATGCATCTTTGATGGAAAATTATCAGATTTTAATTTGGTTTTCACATAATTGAAGAATTTCCTAGGACAAGATTTTATTTCAAGTTCAGTTTTTAAATTGTACTCCTCAAATGCCACATTCACGGCTAAATTTAACTGATCGCAAATGTCTAAATAGTATGCCAAAGTTTCTTCACTATTGCAATCAACAAAAGTTTGAAATTCGCTTCTATATTGGGGATGTATACAAAATGACACATAAAAAGAAGATCACATAAATAATATGATTATATCGTAGATTCCTAAGCAGCAATGAAAAACATACTCAATTTAAAATTGATTGCTATATCCTTCCCAATAACTCAGGTGTTGCGCACGAAGGATCAGAATCATCACCCGAGTTGAACGACCGTTCGCAAAGTAAAAACCCCGCCGGCGACATGGACGAGGTAGACGAAGACATCATCGAAGAACTCAGCATCAACGAACCACCCGAGGAGGACATCGAATCCCACGTGGAAACGGTACAGGACGACGAGGACCAAGAGGAGGAAGAAGATGAAGAACAGGAACCAGAGGACGATGAAGAGCTGGACGAGGAAGTAACCGAGTCCAGTTTGGACACGGAAATTCACAACCCCGAAACGGCAAGCGAAGACAGCAGCAGTCCTAGCAAGGCTCGCGCAAGCGAGGAAGGATCTGGTTCCGGAGATGGTCAGGAAGTCAACTACTCTGAGGATTCGCAAAACGATGACGAAAATTCCGAGGAGAGGGCAATTCTGAAAGAGCAACTGATGAGAGAATCGCTCTCATATGACAATGAAGGCGAGGAGAATGAGGATGAAACTCAGGACCAATATGAAGACGATGACAATGACGATGAAGATGATAGTCCCGTGCAGGCTCATTTGGGCAAAAGATCTGCAAAATGCCAGCGAAAGTGCTGTCGGTTCAAGAAGACCGTCAACGAGAAACTACCATACTACAATGGCTTCCACTCGGAGTACGGGTTGTCCAAGGCGGAATTGGATGCGAAACAGAAACGTGTCGAGGCTAAGAAGAAGCGGTTTCAGGAACGTTACCAGCGGAAGGTGGAAGAACAGCAGATCAAAGCGCAGACTAACGAAGAGGCTTTCGCGACTTGGTTGAATAAGAAGCTGAAGAGTTCCATCAATAAATATCAGAATATGTACGATTTCAAGGGAAAGAAACATAAAAAAAGGCTTTCAAAGGATGAAAGCGAAATGACGGAGGTAGCATGAAATTATAATTTATTTATTCATCGAGTGTGGTTTGATGATTGTGGCAACCGTCCAGCATTAATTTGTGTGAGTTTGAGTAAATTTATAGATTGGTCTATGAGAATTGTTCGTTTGTGGGAACGCAAATTGAATGAAAGAAATCCATTTTAATGTGAATGCATAAATTATCCTGCGAAGGGTTGAAGAGACTTGGAGATTTTGTTGCTATTGCTAGCGATAATATCGATTTACCAGAATTCCGGGCTGTTGAACATTCAGCTAGTAAACGCAGCCCATCAATTTGTTCGGAAAATGTATCCGTAACGAATGGTGACGACTTTATGTGAATTTCCTTAACGTTGCGGTTACGGAAAGGAGGAATGGAATGGAACGTGAGTAGCTGCATTCATATTTACGATAATGTTTGTTGTGCATGCCAACATTTTAAACCCTATGATCGCGTGGTTGAATGGTTCAAGAAAGCGGGCTTGCGTTATGGTAAATGTAAGTGGGTTCCCTCTGCATGGTAGTTTGAAGTAGGTAGTTGACGTAAATTTAATTCTGATGACTTTTTCGTTTACTTTCTTCTGGAAAATTGTAATGCTATCGGTCAAACGGAAGTGCATATCGTATATATAATGGTTTTTGCATCGAATGTGTTACGTTAGAAGTTGCATTTAGAGGAGGCATCCAATGGATACATTTAGAAGATTTATTTATTGTAATAACTCCATCTCATGTTTTACATTTTTCTAAAAAAACTCTATATCACAGCAACTATACTTTGACCTTTAATTGTTTAATCTATCTTATATGTAAACAATACTGTGGATACTGTACACGATGGTGAATCAAATATATCCACACAAAATTCTATTCATGTTTTTAGTTGGAAAAATAAACTGACATTTGATAAAACTGTAAACAATTTTTAACTTGATTTCATAAAACAGCAAAAAAGGGGTTATCTTCCATTTAATTCCACTTAATTAATTTTGGTATCCATGACAGATACGTATTTCGACTACAATGTGCAGTCTTCATCATTCCCACTAAAGAACTTATCAAAATCTAACCCCCTTAAGTACTCATCTCCTAGGTAAAAAAGTCAAGATCATAGGTATAAAAATGAAACTACAATGTGTTGATTCGGAACCTACCTAACTAATAAAAACCAAAGATTTAAGCAAACTAAAGGAGAAAAATCTATACAACTCTCTAATAAGGAAAATCCATGTTTTATTGCTCCGAAATGCATTTGAAACAGTAGGCGATAATTTTCGCATAAAAACACTCTATAATGTTAATTGTAGCTTTAAATGTTCTGTAGATATTGATGAAAGAAAGAAGTGCTTTCTCGCGTAACATTTGAAAAGGGCCTATCGTCGTTGATCGACTCTCTTCATCGACTTTCTCTTTGGTTTACCACGGCAACATAAACGAAATTCTCGCTAAACTCGCAGCACAGTTCGACAGAAGATTGTGTTAGCTTGCGCCTGAAAAAACACACAGAATGGGACATTCATTTGCAGGCGGATTATTCGCGAAAGTGAAAATCGATTAAGAGAATCGATCAACAATGATAGGCCTTTTCTCGTGTTGCGCGAGCTTTCTTGAAAATTACGAAAAATTGAAACTCTCCCCTGGACCGAGGGGTGCTTCGATCGCACAAAAAAAATGATTTTTAAACGTTAGACGAAAATAAACATCTCCTTCAAAATTTGGTCCAAATCGGAAGAGGTCAATTAAACTTTTGTACTTTTCTCGGTCACTTGGTGCGGAATGATCCAGGTGCAGTTTTTTTTCGTAAACACAACTTTTGTTGAAATGTAAACACCAGATTCTAGATTTAAGTATTGGCTGGTAAATGACTGGACAATGCGTACCATTGATACACCGCGTATCTGCAGATATAAAATAGAACCCCAATGTGGTCCTTAGCGTATTGTCCAGTAACTCCTATCCCTACCTCCCCACGGTGCCGGCTGGGGTACGAGTAACCATAGGAAAGATCGGGTAACCAACTCCGGTGGGACTAGCGATTGGCAACTCGAAACATGGAACTGTAAGTCTCTCAATTTCTTGGAAAGAAACCGCATTCTTTCCAACTTATTGAGGGTCCGCAAGTTCGACATTGTAGCACTGCAGGAGGTTTGCTGGAAGGGATCGTCGGTACATACGTATAAGGATGGTTATACAATAGAGGTAACTCTAAGACAAGAAGGTCCCGAAATAACGTGCTCAACTTTTTGGCTCAGCTCTGGTACTCTCTTCGGTCCCAAGCAAATTGATTCACCCCTCGAAACATAGGAAAAACCAATAACCCCTCATTTTATCTGTCAAACTTTCATAGCGAATCAAAACAAACATTGCGTAGTACTAGAATTTCGACTAGAATGGGGTACGTTAATCGTTTGCTTGGGACCAATAGGCTAGTCAAGTAGTGAGCCAATTTAAAATCGTTAATTTCGTATTAATTGTTGGTTATACCATCTACCAGAGCTGCGGAAACACACATGAGATGGGTACAGCTTTTATCGCGTTGGGTGAAATACAAAAGGGCGTGATTGGGTGGTGGCCAATCGACAACAGAATGTGCAAGTTGAGGATCAAAGGCCGTTTCTTCAATATTAGCATAATAAACGTGCACAGCCTTCACCTAGGAAGTGACGATGATGGTAAAGACGCGTTTTACGCGCAGATGGAACGAGTATACGACAGCTGCCCAAACCATGACGTCAAAATCGTTATCGGAGATCTAAACGCTCAGGTTGGCCATGAGGAGGAGTTTAGACCGGCTATCGGAAAGTTCAGCGCTCACCAGTTTACGCCATACGGAGTACCTATTTCCAGCACAGCCTCCCATATTGGTACACCTGTACACCACTACAGACAGAATCACAAATCGTCCACGTTTTGATTAATGGAAGACACTTCTCGGATATCACCTAACGCGGGGCAAACATCGATTCGGACCACTAGCTTGTAATGATAAAAGTGCGCCAAAGACAGGCCCGACACGGTACAATCTGGAACGACTCAAGTTACCCGAAGTCGCAACTGACTACGCGCAGTACCTTGAAGCAGCGCTGCCGAATGAGGGAGAGCTAACCGAAACCCCTCTTGAGGACTACTGGGATAGTGTCAAAGCATCCATTATCAGCGCAGCAGAAGGGTGCCATTGGGTTTGTGGAACGGAATCGACGAAACGATTGGGGTCAGACAATCATAGACGAGAAGAATGCAGCACGGGTGATGATGCTGCAGCAAGGTACCCGTCAAAAGGTGGAGCGATATAAACAGAAGCGAAGATAGCAAGCTCACTTTTTCCGGGATAAGAAGCGTCTTTACGATGTCAATGTCATTTGTGCACTGACATTGATATTATAACTGGACGAACTGATACTGATATCAGGAGTCCTGATATCAGTATCAGTTCGCCCAGTTATAATATCAATGTCAGTGCACAAATGACATTGACATCGTAAAGCAGGGCTATGCATTTTCGAAACAAAGAAAAGAAAATGAACTCTCCGCAGAATCGCTTCATTTCGAGCAATATCATTTTCGTGTAAGTCATTGTGTTTCTTGTTATCCAGTCACGATGAACATTCCTCCTTTCAAACATGACTTGACTATCGCTTGTTTCGTTCGTCAAGTGCTTCATTTCATTTGAAGCAAAGACTTGTTTCAATTGACGCAATGAATGACTCGGAAACTGCTTCCTTCGTTTTTTCCACTTTCACTTCCATTCGGGCTCATTCGACTTGTCACGCATCACGCATCGCGTCGTCAAGCATAAAAATATAGTATCCGCACAATATCGGTTGCCGATAGGGATGGTATCCGGATTATATGTAGTAATAATATTCTATTTTATGTCAAACGAAAATTAAATTAACGAGGCCATTCTGGAGTCCAAGATGGCAGCCATCGGGGTCAGCAAAAGTCTCAAATACCCTACAATATGGGTATTTTTGGAACGGGGACGACGCGAAGGTGTCGAAAATCGATATCCGACGCTATTTTGGAATCCAAAATGGCGGCCATAATAGGATATTTTCCTCGATATTTTCGGAACGGGGATGGCACGTAGATGCTGAAAATCGATATCCGACGCCTTTTTGGAATTCATAATAGTGAAAATTGGTTTTCGGATGTGTCAAATACCCTAAGATATGGGTATTTTAGGAACGGGAATAAAGCGTAGATGTCAAAAATCGATATCCGACGCTTTTTTGGAATACAATATGGTGGCCATCAGGATTCAGAAAGTGTCAAATACCCTACAATATGGTTATTCTCGGAACGGGGACAACGTGTAGATGCCGAAAATCGATATCCGATGCCATTTTGGAATCCAATATGGCGGCCATCAGGTTTCATATAAAGTGTCAGATACCCTAATATCAGGGTTTTTTCTTCGGAACGGGGACCTTTCCGATTCCCACGACGCGTAGATGCTGAAAATCGGTATTCGGTGCCATTTGTAGGCCATCATCTTCTGAAATCGGAAGCCACCATCTTGAATTTCAAGATGGCGTCACATCGATGTCTGGCTTCTAGATGTCACTCCGATTCCAAAAAAACCCACATTGATCGGTATTTGACAGTATTTCACAGGTTCTCTGAACCAAAGCCACCATCTTGGATTTAAAGACGGTGTGACATCAATTTTCGGCATCTACGCCTCATCTCTATTCTGAAAATAACCATATTTTACGGTATTTGACACTTTTCCGTAAAGCGGAAGTCCCCGTCTTGGATTTCAAAATGGCGTCGGATATCAATTTCCGGCCTCTAGACGCCATCCCGAATCCAAAAATACATATATTGATGGGTATTTGACAATATTTCCCATTTGTTCTCAAATAGGAAGCTTTGGATTTGTAAATGGCGTCGCATATCAATTTTTGATCTGTAGACTTCATACTGATTACAAAAATGTCAATATTGATGTGTATTGGTCTGTATTTCCACTTTTTCTTAAGTCGAAAGCCGCCATCTTCGATTTCAAATGGCGTCGAATATCGATTTTCATCCTCTAGACATCATCCCGATTCCTAAAATACCTTTATTGAT